ATATATATATATGTGTGTGTGTGTGTGTGTGTAGATAGATCTATAGATAGATATACATATATTTATATGTATGCATGTCATGTTTTTACATACATAAGTAAATATATATATATATATATATATATATATATATATATATATATATATATATATATATATATATTATATATATATATATATAGACACACACATATAAGGGCGCGCGCGCGTGTGTATGTGTGTGCGTATGTGTTGAGCGTGTGTGCTTAATATTAAGACAAACACGAGAAGAGTCGCACCGGCAGATCCCATGATTCACGCCCGCCGCGCCGCGTGGGTTTGGATGCCTCAAACAGACCCGACTTGGCGTCCTCCTGCAGCTCCGCCCGACGCCGCACCGCTCGGCCCGACCGCAGCGCCGCCCTGACCACCGCCAAGGCCGCGCCCCCGACGCCCGCGCCAGGAACCCCAGGACACAGATGGCCCGCCCGTCCCAGCCGCCGCCGACGGAAGGGCCTGCCATCCGCCGCCCCTGCATTAGCAACATCGACATCCCGCGAGCCCCCTCCCCCCGGCCGCCCACGCCCGGCTTTTTCATTATTGTAGTTGCCGCCCACGCACGCCCACGGCTTCAGTGTTCCTCACGCCCGCCCCGCGCTTTGGCTGTTTGGGGGCTGCGCCTCGGGGGTTCCGGCCTTTGTGTTCGCGACGCTGAGCTCTTCGAGGCCGAAGGGGCCGGGGGAGGCTTGGCATGTGCACACGAATGCATATGTGTGTGTGTATAGATTTATGTGTGTGTGTGTTTGTCTGTGTGCTTATGCCCTGAAGATGCAATGCGGCGAAAAGGCCTTGAGCATATTGGTATGCTTCCCTGTTCTTCTCTTCGATGTTGATTTATCATTTGTAGATAGACACATAGAAAAAAATCATCATGACCATCACCATCATCATCATAATCACTATCATCATCATCGCCATCATCACCATTATCATCATCACAATTATTATTACCATCATCACCATCGCCATCATCATTATCACTATTATCATCATTACCATCATCATCACCTTTATCATCATCACCATTATCACCGCCACCATCACCATCATCATTCATCATCATTATCATCATAATCGTCCTTAATCTTCACCATCCTCATCATCATCATTATTATTACTATGATTATCAATACTATCATCATCATTATCATTATTATTACCAAAGGCTCCTTCCCTTCCACGACAGAGAGGCTGGCAGAGACCGAGAAACAAGCTCTAATCTCTAATTCAGCCACGCAAATAAAACTAGAATTAATGCACATAAGTATGAAGGGCCATAATTAAGATTCATTAGTTGCAAAAACATTTACGTTTGATCTCGCCACTGCTGACAGACATTTTCACGGGGGAATTTCTATCACACTTCCATATATATTTCAAATATGATATGCATTTCCACATCAATTTTTGTTCCTGACGTTATCTTTTATTTATCATCATTATTTATTTATTTATTTGTTTGTTTATTTATTCATTCATTTTTGTTGGCTTTTTGGTTCAAATCATAAGCTATAATAGATAATCGTTTTAGTAATGCAATATATATATATATATATATATATATATATATATATATATATATATATATATATATATATTCATAATGTAAAACAATTTAAAAAGACAGTCTAAATTGTAAATAATCTTTAAAAATCAGCAAAATTCTCTCTTGTATTTAATTAAAAGAGATACAAGTTGCTAACTAGCTGCTCGCTTGTTTGTTTACATTTGTGTCCACGTTCCCCTGTCAGCTGACTAGATGAGCATAGCGAGAATACGCTCTTATTTAGCATTATACACTCGTTGTTTCGCATTAAA